AGGTATCTTTTTATTGAAAATAATTTTATTTGAGATACTGTTACGTATTAAATGTGGGTATTTCTCTTAATATAAATTCAAATATTGATTCATCGTGTTGAAAGGATTCATTTTTTCCATTAGATCCAATCCCTATTAGTTTCTGTGCTCTATTTTCACCTCTAATCACACTATTGTTTTACCGCCATTAAAAAAAAAAAGATTATGGTTGCTAGAAAGCTCTTCAATAATATTATAAAATTATTTTTTTAAAAAAAGTCTCTTGAATATCATAAAGCTCTTCAATAAATATCATATTTTTATCAGAAAATTTAATCAAGATCACTGTGCTTTACTTTTGCTATCTAACAACTTAATAACGGACCTACATTATAGGTCTCGGGGCAAGTGCTCTCACAAGTTTTCGTTTTTCCTAATTTTATAGCGCGGGTGCCACTTTCAGCGCTTAGCGCTTAAAGGTTAATTAAGAATTATATTTGATCTACTTTATCTCTTAAAATTATAATTTATTTTTAAAAATATCTATGATGATTATACACATTAAAAGGATTTTCTTTTCAAGAGTTAGTCATCATCAATGATACTTTAGAGAATTCAATCCATATTTGTTATAAATAATTAATTTTTTTTAATATATTCAAGTTAGTTAAGAACTAGACTCTTATATTAAGAACTATATGTAGTATCAATGATCGTCAATATTTAGTACTCTTTCGATCCTTAATATAGGACCTAATTGTTGAATTGGTTTTGGTCCTAAATATAAAACCCATTTCTTATATTTATCAATTTTTTTTAAATTACCCTTATGGATACTCTCTCAACCATAATCAAGTAGAAGAGGAAGATGGGATATTAAGAAAGATGATTATAGTATTTTAGGAAAAACATGTCACATTTCTTATAATTAACTAACTTACCTAACTTCTTTAATCTAATCAAATTAGTTAAATTTGGACCGGAGAAGTAATATTAGTTCTAATGCCCCAATGAAATGGGTGCATGTACTTGTTCCCTTCAGGCCGGTCATTGTTACTAGTAGTCGCATTATTTGGGGAAAATTAGTAATACTATTCACTGAAATTATAAATGGAAGTTTGGAACAAATTAAGATTTCATACACAAAAGTCTCATAATGAAATTCTACAACATAGAAATCTCTGGCCCTTAAATTTAACTGACGGTAATTATTAACAGACAAGCTTTTCATATGGATCTCTTTCATGAGCTCGCCGAAAATTCAGGCTTTCATCACATCTAGAAATTGCCTTTTATTCGGCCGAATAGAAGGAAAAGACATACTTACCAAGCACCATATCCAGGAACATGTTTTTTTATTTTACTTTGTCTCTCTATTGTTCTCGAAAATTTAGCCTCCCGTTCCTCATCGAGTTACGCTTTTGCATCGGGTTCTTTTTTTCTTATTGGGTTCATTACTTTGATCAGCACAATATCATTGAAAAGGTAGAGATCCCAAAAAGGCGAAGCTTTTGTGATTTTTTGACCTCAAACGCGCAATTTTAAAAGAGAGAAGATTATTGGATCTTTCAAGGGGATTATTGTCAAAAATCTGGTAGGGAAAATGAAGGCAAGCTGGGCCCAATATTCTAAACCCTGCTCAATCTGGGACACACATGGACAAATCACGTCTAACCCGCGAGTAATATATGGAAATTCAAATATCTTCCTGTTCCTTCACCACCTACACTAATAATTCTCCGGATTAGGTCAATGATGTTATCTATATGAACTACCTTTCTGTCAATTTGATAATTTAAATATAAAGTTTCTCAACCATCTAATTGCTCGCTCAAAGCATTGTTCTTTACAGTTAAAATAGCAAAACTTGGAAGACTAAATAGAGAGGGAAAAAAAAATCTTTGGACCAAGTCATTAATTCAGTCAGTTCTTGCTAGAATCTTGTGGAACCTCTTTAATGCGTGGAAACTTGTGACTATCAATGAACGAAAACAGTACATTCTCAAGTCTTGGGCCTCCCAAAACTGTAAAAAAACATGAGAAAACGAGTAACTAAAGAATCAGACAAGATAAACTCTATCGGATTGTCTATCTGCAAATTAGTTTGGTCTGCTTAAGCTTTACAGGCAATGATCAATACGATTAAATAATTAAATATACGTAGAATGCAGCCGATGGGGCCCTCGTAATCAAATGCATTTAGAATGTAAATGTGAATTTGAACGAAATGACCTACCCATGTGCTTCCATGTATGCCAATGTCCATGGTATCTCATTTACCCGCTTTCCCGCTATTAGGAGCGGAACAAGAAGCAACCTAAAATGGATATATATGTGTGTGAGCTCAACACTATATTTCAAACTGAAATCCTAAACGTACAAGTAGTTTCATCCTATACACTTCTTATTAAACCAAATTTTATCGTATATGAGAATTTTTTTCCTCTTTGAATCAGGGCGAACCCAAATTTTTGGTTTAAAACAGTGTGGCGCGCAAGTCCTTGTCAAAACTGGGCTAACTCAATTTTGATTTTCTTTTTCTTTTTCTTTTGAATAGAAACTGTATATCTATTAATCACAAGAGAACAAAGTCAAGTTTACAAGCAGAAAAAATAGGGCTTCTTTCATCAACATCCATCTTACATTAAAAAAGACGGAATGTGATCAAAGATGCAATAATTCTCTTCCATCCTATGTGATAATGTAGCAAGGTGATCAGTTCTAGAATTATTTTTCCTATGAGTTTAGTTAACCGTCACCTGCCAATTCCTACAAGAAAGTAATAATCTAGATTCATTAACAAGGTCTCGGAAAGGGTGTGTAGGATCACAACCCTATACAAAAAGTTAAGAACTTCAATACAATCAAAATATACAAAAACATTCCTATACAAAAAAGTAATCTAGGTTCATTAACAAGGTCTCCGAAAGGGTGTGTAGGATCACAGGCCTTGTGCAAAAAGTTAATAGCTTCAATACAATCAGATTATACAAAAATATTTCTATAGTTTCTATACCAACATAGATTAATACTGTGAATGATTGCTATCAAATCACTGAGCGGGTGGTACCGTGGTAGTCTTGTAGTTAAAACCGCATATCCACATATTGTCTTTATCTTTGAGCACTCCTCTACATCCACTCGTTCCTCCTTCATTAACCAAACCATCCACTTCTAGTCATATTGCATTATTTGGAATGGACATTGTTAGTTCTTCATCTATTTAGGTAGCACTGTACAAATTACTTCTTCTTAAAAGCTCTTGATCTACAACTGCTTTGAATAGGTTGCTGTTGACATTCTAATGAGGTAAGCTTGTTTTTGCTCCAAATGGTTTGTTACATCTACAGGTTTGGATGTCCCAACATATGCATTTGAACAACATATCCCATCCTACTCTCTTGGTAGGTTCTTGCCCTACTTCAATTGATAGATTCCAATTAAGCCAAGCCTCCCTTCATTGAGAGAAGAAATAGCTCCACAGGTTTGGTACAACTATCGACATCCAGCGTTCCTTGATGTTCAGACAATCTCTTAGTAGGTGCATGAGTCTTCTACCTTATCACATCCAAAAGGGCTTGATGCATCATGAGTAATACCTTGTCTAACACAAAGGTGTGTAGTGTATATTCTATCATGAGCAAACAACCACATAAAAGATTTAATTTTCTCCAGCACTCTCCATCTCCATAGCATCTTCCAGTTATTGTCGTTTCTGTCCTGGCGACCTGCAGAAAGAAAAAGATATGCAGATTTGACCAAAAAAAAAAAGAAGACTATTATTGGTCGGTTTTCAAAAATATTTATCCTCTCCTTTCTCTTCTCAAGGTAGACGTGTATATGTAATACGCTCAACTATATGAGGATAGAGCCAAAGGCTCAATTTGTTAATGTTCCATTCACTTCCAGTCTCTACTTAATCAACTATTCTCTCATTTCCAAAGAGGATTAAATTTCAAGATATACTATGGACTCGAGTGTTTGAACTACTCTGCTGGCTAATTTAGAAATTTAGGTGCCAGAGAATGTTCCAAGCACATGAGGCATCTGTTGTGGAGGTCATTCAACATTGCAGCTTTTTGCTCATGGAAGTGGTTGAAAATGAAAGTGGAAGCATAAAATATTCAATCATCATCACCTGTCAAATAGTCGGTGGTTACCCCTAGAGTTAGGATCAGTCAAGGTAGATGTTGACGCATCAATCTTGGAGAATGGCAAAGCTGCATGTGGTAGAGTGATTAGAGATAATGCAGGCAGATGGATCATGGGTTTCAAAAGAAACCTAGGAGTACTACCAGTCACAATTGCAGAGTTGTGGGTGATTCATACAGGACTGGAGGTCTGTAAATCACTAAACCTATCAAGCATCCAGCTTTGCTCAGATTCCTTGGAGGCAATCAATATGGTGGCACGGGACAGTGACGAAAACCATCCCTTCCAAAATGAGATAGAAAGAGTGAAGAGTTTACTCTATGAGAGCTAGAATGTGCAAGTTAGTTATAGTAATCAAAAAACCATAGAGTGTGCGGATAACATGGCAAGATTAGGGCAACATGTGGACCCAAGAACAGTCTTAGTGACAGAGATTGACCTAGTATGCAGAAGGAGGTATATGGAAGATCTACAGCATCTTGGGGGGGGGGGGAGTCACCTCTTAACTTGAATCCCCTATCGGTGGCTTTTGTTTTCCAAGCGTTAGCTTGTCGTTGTAAACCGGGAAAAAAAAAGTTCTCTCATTTCCGTCAGTCCAGTCTTCATATCTAGGGATCAAATCAATCAAGGGTCTATTCATTTCTGACCAATTGTTTTACTAAAAAGAAGTTGAGACACCATTCCCTATTCTCATTCCCAAGCCTTCTTTGAATTTTCTCCAAACTTTACAGATGCCTCTCCAAGTGAAGGAAGAATTTTGAATTTCCAGTGATATTCAATTACATAGACGGGGTACAATCCAAAACGTACCCATTTTTCAACACCATTGTTTAGTGTTAAATAAAATCGCATTAATCGTAAAAACTGTGAAACATCAAAACTATGGAAGCATAGTACATTATTTCAACTCTTTCTATTACATTGATATATTTTATACATAACTCAATAAATTTCTATGCGTATCCCGCAGTATTACATAGGCAAAAATTGGTAAGCCGAAGAAATGAACATACTGCTAATTTCAGATTTTCTTGGTAAATCAACGCATTTTGATGATGCAACGTCTTTCTAGTGACATTGCAAAGTCAAGAGTATTGGCACACTTTCATTTTGCACCAATAATTATAATAATACACATGATCATTCCGAAAGGAAATGCAAATTTTCCTTCTTTATAGGCCCCCTCTCGAGAAAAGGAAAAGACATAAAAAGACGGACTAGCTTGGAAATGCAAAGCGTGATCTATCTGTCGGTTTACGAAAATTGCGATCAGTTGGCGATGTAATCTTCCCTCCTAAGCCTGACAGACGCATCATCTCTGCAATACGCAGTAAAAAAGGTTACGTTTCCAATAAATACAAGCATTTTTCATATTCATGTACGCCTTACTAAAATAAAGAGACAATTACATTACAGAGTAGAAACAGAAAGCCACCACTCAGATAGATTTGGATTGACGAATGTGCACTTAACAAGAAAAAATCTCCACAACAGAGTCTCTTTTGCTCAGATCTTTGAGAAAGAAACCATGACTATCTCTACTAGCTACATGGTGGACTATCACCGAATACTTAAGCACTTTGTAGCATATATTTATTGTCGGCTATCTGGCATCAATCTTTAGAACAAAGAATGAATTCAGTTTAAAGCCAAGGGTGGTCCTAACCCATGCTAATTCAGCTTAAAACTGCGCAAAACATTCATGTCTTGAAAATCTTAGACAATTAAACCCCTTTCAAGCAGAACAAAGGGAAATAAGTAAAGAATATAGTTTCAGTTCTATTTTTTCACTCGCGAATAGAGCCAATGGAAGCTTTTTGACATTTAAACAAAAATATTTCCAAGACAATTAAACAAAAAGCCAAGGGTGGTCCTAACCCATACTAATTCAGTTTAAAACTGCGCAAAACATTCATGTCTTGAAAATCTTAGACAATTAAACCCCTTTCAAGCAAAACAAAGGGAAATTAGTAAAGAATATAGTTTCAGTTCTATTTTTTCACTAGCGAATAGAGCCAATGGAAGCTTTTTGACATTTAAACAAAAATATTTCTAAGTTCTGTATGTTTTTCTTATTTCCAAAAAAACTATTTGAAAGCAGGGGAATTTTGTTGTACCTATCACCTGAGGCCACGGCCATTCTAAATGGACCAACTAACTGTTCCTCATATCTGCTAAACAAAAGAAACATTGAATTTTGCAACGGTTAAAGAAAATAAAAAATTACCTCGCTTCCTCTCAAGCTCTTCAACAAGTTCTTCCTTCCATTTCCTTTGTATCTCCGAGAAAGTTGGGCTGCAGATAAATTTTTTTCCATTCTTTTATTGCAGTTCTATTTAGAAAGTAGAGATAAAACCAGCATCAGACATTAGATACATACCTAGCACTAAATGATTCCAACTTAGAATATTGAAGTGTCTCTTTCCATTCGTTAAGCTCAGATGGGTGGATTTCCTGCAAAGGCCGACCACTTGCACCACTAACTTTAGATTGATTTTTGTTATGACTTCCATGCCTTGCAATATTAGCACCATCGGCCATTGAGTATCGTCTGCTGGCCTGACTAGGTGACCTGCTTTTTGGTGTTAAATTTGACACTTCCGAAACTACTTCATTGCGTGCAACTGAAACCGGAATGGAGGGAACAGCGGCGTTTGATATGCTAAAGAATTCTTCGTAAAGAGGAGATTGGAGTTTCTTCAGTTCCAGAGCCTATTGCCATTCAATTTAAAAAAGAACAAAACTTTATACTTGCCTCATCTCAAGAAGGCAAACAAATAGAGAAAAATATCAACCATCTAGCATACTGAATGGAGAGTGGTCTGGTCAACAATTCATTAACAAATAATGTCATGTTCAAAATAATACCTTTTCATCTAGAAAAGCTCTAATTTTTGACTCAGTGACTTCTTCATCGTCATCAGCTCCTACAGGCTCACTTGGAAATAAAAATTCGTTCTCCGCCTTTTGAGATGCTTCAGTGCTTCTCATTGTATTGTTGATTGTCTGATCAGGAGACAAGTTTGTTCCCTTTCTCTCCAAATCTGGACTTCTATCGAAATTGCATGGCCATTCATCCATAGGTTCACACATAGGGTTGAAACTCTGATGCAATGAGCATAGCATCTAATTATTGGCAAATAGTTAACCATAAAACATCCAAAAAAAAAAAAAGGAACCAAAAAATAGGAACCTTTATATCATCTGATGGAATGTGAGAATTAGACTTCATAGACGCATCAACAAAAAGGTCATCTTTGTCATCTATTTGACACATGTCATCATCATAATTGCTTGTTGGATGATAGAAATCTGATTTTAAAAGAGTCTCAGGAGACATGGATGAGCGTTTTATGCTATCCATCTGACAAACATCCTTGAGACCTATTCCCCTGATAAAACTCAAACTGCTTAACCAAAAGGTATCTAGCAGCCCAAACTCATAAACGTTACCAAAAAATCAGATTATACACTTACGAGATTTTAGAATCTGTCCCAGATGTTACCATCTTCTTGCAAGATTCCTAATATTTGAAGTTTAAAAGAATAAGAGAAATCATGGCAAAATAATATACCATCATATAAAGTTATAAACCCAATGCAATGATACTAACCACAGCTGAACTGCATAATGTGGGATTAGATTCTTGGTACTCGCAGGTGACAAATGGATGCTGCAGATGATATCATCACGAGAATCATTTTTTTAACTTACAAGTGAAAGCTAAGTTCAAAACAAGCTAATGTGATAGTATGCATGTTACCAACATTGCATATCACATATGCAACTAAAGAGATCAATATTGTACAGAATCTTACCTGTAACAGATCTGATGCAGAAGGCCTTAGATCTGGTTCCCTGCCACCACAAATAGAATGATATTAAAACTAGAGCGGTACAACTATCTAATAAAAAATGGCACACTCAGGCGCCATACTGTCTTGACTGCTTCTCTAAAAAATAGAAGTAATCAAACTAAAATAATGGAGCAAAATGACTAAAGGATAGTTGAAAGTCTTTATGGCATGTACTTCTGCAAGCATTTTAACAAAAAATCCTTTGCCTCAACCGAGAGATGGTCAGGTATGGGTGGATGGGATTTAGTTGTCCCAATATGAAAAAGAGCAGCAACCTGAAAGAAATAGTAGCTTGAGTAAGCAAACTCCTCAAGAACTGAGTCGGGGGGGGGGGGAGAGCAATCATATAAGTCAATGATTCATTAGATTACTATGTCTAGTTGACATTCAAGCAAGTACCTCCTGAAACTGTTCACTCCATGGAGGCTTCCCTGTTGCCATCTCTATCACGGTGCATCCAACACTCCAAATATCAGCAGAACTAGGAAATCACAAACCAGAAGTCCATGAAACTTAATGATCAGAATGAAGTACGATAGGCTCCTCAATACTTCATTCCTAAATGCTAAAACAATCACACTATTCTGTCAAATATACACTCCAAAGAAACAAAAGAGAAACCACGAAACAGTCAAAATTTTCACTTCAATTTAAACGAGACTGATAAAACAGTTATATGTCAACATTTTGTAGACCTTAGATGATTTATCATGTTGAGCCAAACAATTCTACATCAAGATCGAAAACAATTAGGAGAGAAAGAGGAATACCCGGGAAATATAATATCATTTCCATGAGTAGAAATGTTAAAATGTTTTAGAAGATTTTAATATTAATGAAAGAAGCTATTTGATTTCAATATAAACAAAAGCTAACAAGGGGGTAACATTCTCCTACTGTCTTCTATACTTATATGGCCACTTATAAACTAGAAACTGTAAACAGGAGCATGAATAAAATTCAAAAGTTTTCCTGTAATCTATGACAGCCATGTCACAACAGAATTTCCCCCCCCCCCTATGTTGTAAACTACAAGGAGTAATTTAATAAACTGAGTTAAGTTAACTCCTTCTTCTTAAAATTATATTTCAAAACATAGATGATCAATGTTTTACCAAGAGGTGTTTATACACTCACAAGCTATGCCCTGTCTGCAGAATAACTTCAGGAGCCATCCAATACGGAGTACCTTTCATTGATTTTGCACCATTCATGGTAGCCTATTACAACCCACAAACTTCATATGTCATGCTCACAAAGAAGGTAGAAAATAAGCTTCCAAGTGCAAATGAATCAATAGGGGCAACAATGTCATACCAGCTCGACTACTTTCTTAGATGCACCAAAGTCTGCGAGTTTAATGCATCCTTTATTATCAACAAGAATGTTCGCTCCCTGTATCAAAACAATCCACATGTGAGAGAGAGAGGGGGGGGGGGATATTCTGACACAGAAGTCAAGGGTACCCACCTTAATATCTCTGTGGATAATTCCATTCTTGTGAAGGTACTCAAGACCCAGTAAGAGTTGTTTTGTATACATTTTTATTACCTGTTCAGCAAATAATTCTCATGAAGCAGCAGCAGAGTTACAACTTACTAGAGTTTCCATATTTGTTAGGAAGTAATATGTACTTACAGACTCGGGGAAGGATTCAAATTTCCCCAGGAGTGATGAGATAGATCCTCCTGGTACAAATTCCAGCAGAATATTCAAGGAATCCTCCTCCCTAGCAGTTCCCAAGTATCTCTGTTTTAAAGAATGAGAAAAGTTAGTACTCACTGAATCAGACAGAGAGCGCAGTACTGGCATAATAACAACATACTCACAACAATATTTGGATGTTTAAGATTCTTGAGAAGCTTCACTTCCTCTTCAAGCTCCGAAATGTGAGCCTGAGTAAAGAAGATAAAAAGAGATTGTGGATCAACCATGCTCGCCAGAGGCATAATAATCACTTGAAATGCTACCAGTGTCTTAAGACTAGCATAGAGGCATGGAACTATTTTATGTATAGCCTGCAATGCATTATTACTTAAACCACATGAATGTCAGATCAAGAGTTATGTAGTTAATTTGGCATCCTAACTATTTGGGAGGGAAAAGATATGAAGCAAGTTTATGCAATTTATGGAAAATTAAAAAAAAAAACCTGAGGAGAAGAACAATAAAAGCAAAGGGGAAAAAAAGGTTGTCAAAGGCTCTAAAGCAATATATAATCTACCATCTACGATAGCAGACTGACATAATAGATATATGGATCTTTACCTGTGTTTTCTCTTTTGAAGCACTCCTTGCCGCGATTAAAACCTACATCAGTAAAAAGCAAAATCATCAACGAAGAATTCCACAGCCTAAATGAGGAAGAGATGAACATTGCATGAGCAAAAATGAAATTAATTACCTGCTTGACAGCAATAAGCTCCCCGGAATCAAGGTTCATACCCATGTAGACACGGCCAAAGGCACCACAACCAATCAACTCGCCCTTCCGCCACCGGATCGAAGGAGTGTTGTCCCTGGGAACCGGCGGCAGAGCCCTAACGCGTGGCTGGGAGAAGAGCCCAATTCGTGATTTGCGAATGCTGGAGCCAATCTTATCGACCAGACCGCCAACGCCAAACCCTCCATCGTCCCCGCCTGGGCTCCTGAAAACCAAGGATCGGCGAACGGAACCCAGAAATTCTTGCATCAGGGCAAGAGGGTTTTCAGGAGCAAGAAGCTGTTAGAGTCGTCGTGAATAATCGTTAATCGAAAAAGCTTGGAACTCTACTGTTGGATGAAGTTCATTTGTGCAGAGACGGAGGAGGGAAAAGTAGGAGGAGCAGGCGTTTTCAAAATGAGGGAGATGATGAGAGTAACGGTATAATTGTGATTTGAATGCTTGTCGGCACTCCTCTTAAGCCTTTTGCCATTTTCGCCCTTCCTTATTACACGCCACTCAACGTGTTAATTAAAATTTTTTTGGACTGATAAAGTGTTAATTAATTGATTCGGTAAGCAAGCATGGATTTTTTTTTTTTTGTTATTAGAAACAAAGGTTGTTGGCCCAAAAAAAAAAGGAAACCGAGGTTATTTATTTTTTGAAGCTTTTTTTTTTTCCTTTTTTTGCCAACCAGTTGAAGCTTATATTATAGGGAAAATTGCAAATAAAGACCTTTGAAAATATAAAATAGCAATTTGGGTACTTCAATTTACAAAATTGCTGTGAGAGACCGGGTCTCAAATATGAATTATGAAATGTAAGGAAAAAGACTAAATTGCCCTTCTTCTCTTTCTTCCATAATCTTATCTTCTTCTCTTTCCCACTGCGGTCCAATCCAAGAGTTCTCTCTTCCCTCTCCTTCTCTTTCTTCCATCACCTCATTTCTTTCTCTCTTCCAGTGACCTCAAGGCTCTACGTGGGGTGTGTGAGTTAGTGGGGATTTAGTTTAGGGAGCATGGTGGAGCGATTTTATCGATTAAGGAGAGAGATTGTTTAACTGGGAAGATTAATGGAAGGGTAATGCTCAATGGGGGCTAGAGTTATGGGGATTTATGGATGAGAAATTCTGGTAAAAATTAGATCGATGACAAAGTATAGATCCCCATTGCTCTGTCACTGCATCCAACTACTTGTCCATTCTAAGTTCCACTGTGACAAGCAAAGCGAAGATGAATTCAAGGGGTGGGTGGAACTATCAATTTCACGCGCGTGTTGAAGAGCTTGGACGCAAGCCTTCTCCCATTGCACGAAATATTGACATGGAACAAAGAGAAGGGAAAGCACATGTGCAGTTTGGTTGGGAGAATTGGACCGACCCCTTCACAGTGTTGCTCAATCACAGAAGCTTGAATGGGGTTTTGATTGCAAGATTGGGCCCGCCCTTCGATGGATGCTGCTAGCTTGGGAAGAATGATATGAGGTTGGGGCATCCTAGATCTGCGACCATGAAAACGATGATGAGCAATATTTTTTTAGCAACCATGGGAAAGAATCAAAGCGGAGGAGCTTGGGCACCTAAGATGGTGTTTTTCTTTCCCTTGGTTTTGTTTCCTTGATTTTAGTTTTGCTTCTTTCTCCCCCTCACATTACAGGATCTCTTCTTTTTTATTTTATTTACTCATTTCAACAGAGAAATTAAAATTATATGAAAACCTTATCAAAACTTGTTATTAGTCTTACTTAACTTGTCATTTACCTAATTGAACTTGTCATGAATCCTATCTCAGAAGTTTTTACTATCAAGGAAATCTACAAATTCTGATTTTAACAGAGAAATTTAAAATTATGTCAAAACCTTATAAGAACTTGTCATTAGTCTTACTTAACTTGTCATTGACCTAACTGAACTTGTCATTTTATAAATAAATGTGGAAATTCAGCTATTTCAACAGAAAATCTCAAATCTGTATAAGTAGCTTATCAGAAGTTGTCATTGGTCTTACTTAACTTGTCATTTCATAAATAAATGTGAAAACTCAATCATTCTAATAGAGAATCTCAAATTTGTATGAAAACCTTATCAGAAGTTGTCATTTGACTAACTGAACTTGTCATTTCGTAAAGAAATATGAAAATTCTGTCATCTTAATAGTTTAAGCTCAAATTTGTATGACTAGATTATCAGAAGTTGTCATTCGACTTATTAAAGTTGTCATTAGCTTCACTGAAGTTGTCATTCATCCAAGAATGTGAAAATTGTCATTTTAATGCACAAACTTAAATTCCTCTTATCAGAACTTGTCATTTGCGTTACTAAACTTGTTATTCATTTTAATAAACTTGTCATTGGCATCTCATTGGCATTACATCAACACTTGTTATTAAAAGTTTGCAATAGGAAATGACAAGTTTGTAATAAAAAAATCACAACTCTGCAATAAGAAATAACAAGTTTATAATAGGAATTCTACTGCAATATGGAATTACAAATACACAATAAGAAATAACAAGTCTGTAATAGGAAATAACAAGTCTATAATAAAAAATAATAAGCCTGAAATGAAAAATCACAACTCTGATATAGGAAATTACAAGTCACAACAGAAAATAACAAGTCCAAAATAGAGAATTATAAGTCTAAAATAGAAAATTACAGGTCTAAAATAGAAAATTATAAGTCTCTAATAGAAAATAACAAGTCCAGATAACCATCTAACATCGATGACATCAAAGCTAATTTTGAACATTTCTTGACAATATCAGGTCCAAGCAATCATCTAATAACTGCATTCATGGATAAAGGAACATATAATTATCATTTGATAACATATAATCGTCTGAATGAGGGCATGTTATTGGTAGGCTAGGCTTCATTCACCTGTTTCTCAAAATGCATCCTCTTCAAACCCTGCAACAAGGATGTTAAGAGTTGTTAGCTTATACTTGAAAGGCTTGGATTTCAACTTTTGTGCTTCTCGTTGGGCTGATTGATTATTTGTTCATCCCTTTCTAACTTTAGAGATAAAAGACGTTGGGACCCAAGCGCGTGCCTCACTTGCTTGGTTGAAAGAGCTAAAAAAAAAATCCTACCCACCCATAACTCAGCACAAACACAAATGAAATCTATTCGATGTATTGCCTCAAATACTTAGTTGAAATGCTTCGTTGAAAGAGAAGGACGAAGCGGGAGAGAGGAGAGAAGGATATGGGTTTGTGAGAACGAAGCAGAGGAGGATATGTAAAGCCGGTGGGTATTTTTGTCTTTTAATCAACATTTCATAATTGCAAATTGGGACCGGGTCCTCTACAGCAATTTTTTAAATTCAGGGTCCCTAATTGCTATTTTATATATTGGGAGGTCTTTATTTACAATTTTCTCTATATTATATTCTAGGCAGTCCCAAAAAAAAATATTTGATGAAGTCAGATTTTGGTTTATAATTATTTGTCTAATTCCTGTAAACTTAAATTGTTCTCTCTTAACATGTTTATAAGAAAAATTGATACGGATGGGAACTAGACCGGTCATTCATATACTTTATGAAAATTTAATAAATAAGTTATATCATCCCTAACTAGTGAATAGTGTAATTTAATACTATGGTCCTAATTATAAGAGCCAGTTGACTAATTTGAGAAGATTAAGGAAGTAAGTTGAGTTAGTTATTTGTCCTAAATAGGTGATGTCTTTCCTAAAATATCCTTGCTAATAAAGTATATTAATTAGAACTATAATTATTATAAGGACTATCTTAAAAAAAATTGAGTAAATATGAGAGACAAAGTGGATTAGGATCTTATATTTAGGACCAAAATAAAAGTCAAAGAGGGTTTTATATTAAGGACCGGAGGTATACTTAATATGCTGGTAAAAATTAATATTTAATACTCCTCCGGTCCTTAATATAAGACCCATTTAACTAATTTGATTAGATTAAGGAAGTTAGGTAAGTTAGTTAATTATAACAAATGTGACGCGTTTTTCCTAAAACACCATAATCATCTTTATTAATACCTCCTCTCCCTCTTGTACTTGATTATGGTTGAGGGAGTATCTATAGGGGTAATTTAGAGAAAATTGATAAATATGAGAAATGGGTCTTATATTTAGGACCAAAACTAACTCAACAATTGGGTCCTATATTAAGGACCGGAGGAGTATAAATTTAATATTTTGTATTAATTAAAAACAATCTTTCATCTTTTTTTTATTTTGCTTCGAGATGCATAAATGTTTATTCAGTATGCGACGCGATGGGACTGTGAGGAGATGTTTCCAGGAAAAGAGAGACACCATATGGACACTGTACATGTCACATGATCCTCATTTAGGGGGCATTTAAGCAAGAATATAATATGAAAAATCTGAACAATACAAGACATATTTATCTTTTATTTCTCCCAAGGGTGGGTCATGCATTCATTTATTCGGTAGATAAACTTTATCTATAAGTCTAATGCCCAATTCATGATAAATCATAAATCCCAGTTTGACACATCCCGAGGATGGTTGATTAATTCGTAAAAAGTTTATTAATCGTCTAAGAAAAATCTTTTTTTTTTTTGTGTGTGTGTGTTATGATCATATTCGTAGTTTCATAATGAAACTCTCATGAGCAAGTGCATCGTCCAACTCCCGGCTGTGAAGAGTCTGGTCTATGCTGGGCCAAGCTGCTGCATTGGTGCGTTTTTTTGGCATACAACACTGCTGGGTTTTTTTGTTACAAAGGGTTTTTCTCTCTTCTGGTGTATTCCTTTTTCTGGTTGAGCCTGACAGCAATGCATGGCCCAATAGCACTGTTTACCTTTTATGTTCAGTGCTCTTGGCTTATAGGGTACTACTGTTTTATCAAAGGTTAATGTGTAAATTTGTTTCGAAAAATTTTATTCAGAAGTATTGAGCACCTAAAAATTTTGTAGATATAATTTTGCCTCACACCACATTAAATTGTTATAATTTTAAATTTTTAAAATAAATTTGTACTTCAAATTTTTGAATGCACAACGTTTTTAAGTGAAAACTTTCTAAATAAATTTACACCTTAAACCTTTTATTAATATCGTGTTGACTTTTTTTTTTTCTTTTTTCAAATAACTTGAAGTGATCCCATGTGGCATTGGCTTCGCAACGAAAAACAAGCATAGCTTCTTACGCAGCTGGTTTAGGAGAGAAGTGATTCTTTGAGATGGTAAAGTGAGAATGCTGAATAATGAATGTGTTAGATTTTGATTTTTTTTTTCAATAATACTAAAATTTATTAAGCAAACACAAGTAGACGAAGCTCTCCACCTTAAACCTCCCCCTCTATGATAGGTGGTGGTTAATTGAGGAAATAAAAATTGCTTTATGAGAAAGTTGGGCTAAATAATTAGCGGTTCAAATGGATTTCTTGTGAGATTTTCAAATTTTAAAAGGACAAT